GTAACAAGTGAAGTATAAAGTAAATGTAATGCATTTTTACTCAAGATATACTGCAACTTGTACAGAATTGCAATTATTTTAGATACTTTCTTCTGAACATTAAAAATATGCGGTTTCCATGTCATTTTACAATCAATAATTACTCCAAGAAATTTTATATGATTTACTCTTTCTAAAATATTTTTATTAATAGTAATCCTGATCTCATTATTTAACTCTTTATTACTAAATACCATGAATTTCGTTTTATTTAAATTTAGTGACAATTTATTTAAATCAAACTAATTCTTTAGTTTATACAATTTTTCTCTACTACCAACACAAGCTCTGTAAGATTTGGGTCAGAACAATAAATTGTTGTATCATCCGCGAAAAGAATAAAATTTAAAACATCCGACACTTTGCATATATCGTTTATATATAACAAAAATAACTTAGGGCCCAAAACAGAGCCTTGCGGAACGCCACAATTAATGTGGCGTTAATATACAGTTAATATATAAACATCTTGTGAGAAAGACTGGTATTGCCAATGCAATTGGAGAATTGTATTTTAAACTTAGTAGTTATTTCATCTCACTCATTAGATGGGGTTGGTGGTTTTAATAGGAGTTGTTGGTATACATATTCAAGGGCGTACACAGTTCAGTTGTGTGTATGTTCATATGTAGTGGGCCAGTCTGGGCCAAAATGCCCAGGCCGATTTTTTTGTCCCAGTCCAGCCCTGGGCGGACTGATAATACTGGAGCACCAACTAGCGTTCATGACTTTTTTTTACAGTCTATACCTCAGCTAATAAAAAAAAAAGCAGTGAACATGAACGAAGACGCTGACGAGACCCCTTCGGTTGGTCCTGTGGATGGGAAATTTAGTTATAAGAACGAACCGATGGAAGCGTCATTAAGAGCATGGTTGTTGTGTGCAAGCTATGCAACAAGGAATTCGCATATCACATCGACCCTCAAGTTTCACCTCAACGCAAAACATATACAATTGCACTGGTCTGTTGGATTTGGTTGAACAAAAATAAACAATATTTTGTTGCTTAAGCTTATGTATTCAGTCATTATTAAATGATATACTAAAAATCCATGTGAGAAAAAATCTTCTCACTGTTCTCAGTTCAAATATTTATGCAATTAAAATGCGCTTAATTTCGATTTATTAATTACAAAGCCTCTAATTAATTAGATTTTTTTTTAATCGAGTCCCGGCCCTAAAAATAATATATATAATTTACTCACACATTCTAAGTGATCTTATGAACCACTGACAACTCCTAAATAACTGGTTTGTAAATAATGCTATACTTCATTTAGATGTAAATTGATCATTAATAAAGTATGAAAATACAATTATTAAACACATTATAGATATGCTATTAAAACAAGAAAAAAACATTTATAGCTGTATTTACATATATACTGCTTATTAATGTATTTTAATGCTTAATAAATGGTGAATTATCAGTTCACTAATGCTTAACTAATGATTAATACCATGCAGTTATTATAAAGTTACTGAAAGTTCCTATAAGCAGCCAGTTCACCAGCAGCTCTACAGTCTTAGAGCCTCTGGGACAGCAAGGCATTCAGACAATAGAGAAGTGTGAACGACGTGTGTTAATGGGCCATTGCAGTTCTTGCTCCAGCCTACAGGAGCGCTGCTGAGTATGGGCTTAAACACACACACACTCGCAAGTCCCCACTTGGTCAAAAATGTAAAAAATTCACCAGAGCGTTTTTTAGTTGATTTTAACATGTTTTAAGGCATAACTAACAGGGGACTTGAAAAATGTCCCCACTTCGCTCGGCGGTCCCCTGTTGGTGAGTGTGTAACGACACCAAAGTCCCCTCTTAGATAGGTAGACAAGTACACACACACACACACACACACACACACACACACACACACACACACACACACACACACACACACACACACACACACACACACACACACACACATTCATACAAGGCGCAGAGGAAAAGAGAGCGAAAAAGAGTGAGTTGGAACGGGAATGAGAGAGAAAGACTCTCTATGCACTTTACAAGACATAACGTGCGTACGCACTCTTTTAGAAGAGTAGCCGGTAACACTTTAAAATAATGGTCAGTAGTTAACAAGTAGCTATGCAGGAAGTAATAGGTAGTACTGCATTAACACCGAAGTTAATACTATTAACTAATATGGAAGCAATATTAACTAAGCATTAAGTAATAGGTAATTTAGTACAAAGGTAGTTCCTTGGTAGGTATTTGATTGTTACTAAAAAAAATATATCCTCATTGAGAACTACTTGTGAACTAAGAAATAATAACCAATTAATTACTAATCACAAAAGTAACATGTCTAAAAAGTGAAGAATTGTGGGGGTTTTACTCTTAACATGGTCATAACATTTCAGAAGCACGTGCCTCAAATGGGTTCTTTGTGGAAACCAGTTTATGAAGTTTATACATCCCTCCAAATACATTAGCTAGGTTGAGATTGTGACCACTACTCTTGCCAGGATGGACGCATGTTCTCTGTTTATTTAAAACTTAAACATAGAATAATCCTAATAAAGACAGTTTTTAAAAATAAATCTTAAATAATTAGGAAGTGATGCTGACACTCTCATGATTGGATTAGTTCACTATTATGAGCTCTATTGAATGTCAGTCACATATATCTCAGACTCCAAAAACCTATAACTTTATGTTACAGTAGCTGCCTGAGAAGGACTTCTCTTTAGCACATGAATATAAACATTGATGTTCACTTGTCAAAAACAATTAGCATCTTTAATGAACAATTTGGCTGCATTTATGTTACGATAAGCGCAAAACCACATCTTCCAGATTACAGTGTTTGTTAGAATATTAGTGCCTCACAGAACCTGTGTACAGTATGTGTCAAATATAAAATTAAATTACTTGTATCATTTGTGAAAAACATGTTAACTCCTCAATAACTACTTAAGCATTACCTTGTCATCCCGCAGGAACTACTAGTGATGTGGCCCATTATTTTAAAGTGAAAAACATGTTAACTCCTAACTAACTACAAGCGTTACCTTGTGTAAACATTCCGGGATGACAAGGTAACGCTTGTAGTAAATGCAGCCAATTTCTTCATTAAAGATACAAATTGTTTTTGACAAGTGAACATCAATCACTGCATGAAAATAGGTGTATCCGGACCAGTATACTCCTGTATACACTGCTGAAATTCGGAAGAATCCAGGAGTATAGTGGCCGGATATGTCAAATTCCATGGGTTTGTATATATCCGCATACATCCGGAATGATACCAAATCGGATGTATGTTGTGGACGTATACTTCCGTGCTAGAGCCATTTGTTGCCATGGCAAGTAATCCCATTAAAGTTTTTAGCAGGAAAAAATCACACCTTTTTGCAGGAAACATTCACACCTTTTTGCCTTCCAACCAAACTGGATTGGTTGTTCTTTTAAAGCCACTCCCAACACCCAGACCACTATTGGAGGGCAGGACACATTGAAAACCCAGTAAACGGACTTTATTGGTTACTTTTAAACATAGCCCACCCTAGGCCTTGTAGCATACTGATTTGATTGGTTATATACCAGCTATGCAGATATTGCTCAAATATATACCAAACCTCCCTCCCCCAATTTTAATATATTCATTAAAATAAATTTGATATATATATATATATATATATATATATTTATATTTAAACACACAAAGAACAATGGGAAAGTCTGAAATTTTTATTAAGGTATATAACACATTCCAAATAGCATTATAAACAAGCATTACAGAGGAATTGGGAACAAAAACTAGAAAAAAAAGTATGAAGTAATAACATCTCAAAGGAAGAAAAAAAAATCATGGACATTCCAAAGAAAATTATAAACATACATTAAATAAATTGTTAACTTTTTATTTTCGTTATTTTTTTTTTACCCAATCATTTTAAAGGACAGATGTAAAGGAATAAAGTACACAGTGTATATAAAAAGTTACATATATATATATATATATATAAAATATATGAAGAGTTCCATTTGAAATTTTCTCCTTTAATGATGATTTTTATCAAACTTGTATATTTAAGTTCAGTAATTTCTCTTAAATGGCAATGATAATTGCCTATTAATTGTTATTTAAGTGAAATTACTAAACTTAAATATACACGTTTGATAAAAATCATCATTAAAGGAGAAAATTTCAAATGGCATTTAGAGGCTTTTGCATCTGAACTCTTCATATATATATATATATATATATATATATATATATATATATATATATATATATATAAAATATACGTAGATATTCCAAGTAAACAATATAAATAAATAGAACATTACAGAGAGTGCATTATAAACATACATTAAAATGCAAACAAGTAAACAAAATGGAGATAAGCAACATGGACAACAAAAAAAGGAACAAATATATGAAATAATACGAGAAAAATAAATAAGAAATTAAAGTGTATATAAAATATTCAAGGTGTACACTGCCGTTTATAAGTTTGGGATCGGTAAGAAGTCTCATATGCTCGCCAAGGCTGCTTTTTTTTATGTATATAAAAAATACAAAAAAAGTAAGAGTAATATTGTTAAATATTATGACAATTTAAAATAAACGTTTCTATTGGAATACATTATTCTTGTGATCAAAGATGAATTTTTAGCATCATTACTCCAGTCTTCAGTGTCACATGATCCTTCAGAAATCATTCTAATGTGATGATTTGATGCTCAATAAATATTCATTATTATTACCAAAGTTGAAAACAGTTGTAGACTTTTTAGGATTATTTGATCAATAGAAAGTTATATTTCATTTATTTGAAATATGATGTTTTGTAACATTATAAATGTCTTTACTGTCACGTTTGATTCATTTAATGCATCCTTGCTGAATAAAAGTATTGAGTTAATTTGAGCTATCCCCCCCAAACCAAAAAAAAAAATATCTTACCGACCCCCAAACTTTTGAACGGTTATATATATATATATATATTTTATACGAGTTAACATTTTTCAAACTGCCATGATACGCTGGTGGTGTGACGCATAGTGTGGGTCAGCCTCTAGTCTGTTTTATAGTACCTAGCAGAGAGCAGATTGGTGGAGACCTCACCATTCACACTGGCCTTCCATCAACAATAGCATCATCTTCATCAGACATCAGTTGCGGTCTTCCAAAGTTCCTTTTCTGTGTTGGTTTGTACAACCCCGGACCTGGTCTCCAGCAACTGAAAAACATGACAGTAACTTAACCACTAAAACACAGAGAGGAGGATAGTTACATTCTGAAGAGAAAAAAAAGTGCTTAACCAGTTTCTTATCTTACCAGTCGCTTTCTTTGAAGGTTCTTTGCAATGCTCGTCATAGTTTTTCTTTTCTGGGCCTTTTCAGGCTGAGCCAAAGAATACTTCCTCCGCAAAGTCTCAAAATACATCTTCCAACCTGCTAAATATATCATAAATAAATGTAATGGCAATAAAAATAAGTAAAACAGAGGACAATAAAATGATTACAACATCTTTAAGATTACCTTTTACACATTCAGGGTCAACGTCTGTAAAAGTTTACCTTAATTCTTCGAAGAGGTAAGTGGTCACAGCCAGTTTATGTGATGAATTTATTCTGGGGGGGAAAGTTGCAGGTATCATTACTGAAATTCACTTTTGGCATTCCAAATCCATAGAGTAGTAGATTAAACTAACATTTAGGCTATAGTATATAAGAAACAGTCTTACCTGGTTTGTGGAACGTATTTGTGTGGGTTGTTCTCTGAATTATGGAGGCGCCTTACAGATTCCTGTAAAGTTTGAAATTAAAAAGCAATTAAATTGATTCACAATCTTCAAGAACCACAAAACTGAATTTTCAGTTGGAATAAGCTGACCATCACAGTAACCGCAAGAGACAAAACAATAATTGTAACCGAACTATGGCTTACAGCCACGTTATAGAACAATAATTGGACTTACCGCAATGTTCACGTCATGTGCCTTTTTTATTCTTTTCGAAGCGTTGTAAGATTCTTCATGTAACGTTAGTCTGTGGTGCTCATACTTTCGCTAAAGAGCATCAAGACGCTGGAGAGTCTCTCTGAGAAGATCAGGTTGTGGCCAAAGACAGATTGATCCTCCCATTGTGATTCTGCATCACAGCTGTGGGGCATGTGGATGTGATCATCCTCATAGTTATCCACTGCATTACTGACTCTCATTGATGCATCTATGGAAATATTATAACCATAAACATTTTTTACATTAGTAGCTACTTAAAATAGATCATGGAGAATTCATTGATGATGGCACCCATAGTTACACAGAACAGTGTGTGAGAAAGATACATTAATTAAAAACGAAACAATACACAATCTCCTAACTCGCCATAAGTCAATATCAATATCTGAATGAGAGATGTAGCTAGCTGGCCTGCTAGCATCAGCAATCTCTGTATAGACCATTTCACAAGATGTAAACAACACTGGTCCAGAAGCACTTCCTGTTTCAGTTTTAACACTGTATAAACGTTGGGTTAAAGTACAACCAACAGAACAACTGAATCAAAAAGTTAAACAAACATATTCAAGATATTTTCTTTACATTTGAAATTAAGAAGCCTTTTACAAACTGAAACAGGAAGTGCATCTGGACCAGTGTTGTTTACATCTCGTAATGTGCAATAGCAGTAATGTGAGCTATTGTAAGACTAATGTAAGTTACCATACTATCTTGTACTACCGTGAATATTCATTCATTCATTCATTCAGACTCTTAGGTCAATATCACAAAGTTAAATTAATAACATGTATATGTGGGCAATGGTAATCATGCAAGATTCATTGTATTTTGTTTACGGCTTGTTACTGATCTTAAAAGCATTCATAGAACGGACTTCACGAATCTAAAGTTAGGCAAACAAGCACATAACAGTTCGGCAAGTTAGCTTACCTGAATCTGACAATATTCAACACCCGGCGTGACTTCTTTATCGGAACATCGTAGCCGAGCCATTTCTGGGGTGTTCCTCAATCGGATTCCCGTCCTTAGGCCCTGTTAACACGAGAACGCTCGCGGGTGAAAACGTAAAAATATTTTATCGGACGTGCCTTTCGTTTACACGGCGATGGCGTTTTTGAGGCTCAAAAAAGCAAAAAAAGTGAAACCACCCTCCAGTGGAAATCTTAAATCTTACCCGTGTAAACGGTAAAAACGCAAAAGTTTGCTTGACGGTGAAAGTTGTACGCAGGCGCGTGGACTTGGTGTTGTTGTAGTAGGCACTCCTAGCCGCCTGAAGTGCATACTACATTGAATTTCACACACTTTTGCGTCTCCATTTGCACGCGGATTTCTCACACAAAACGCTCGTCTAAACGCAGAATAAAAAAAAGATGACGCAACGCCACTTTTGCGTTTTCTCATCAGAATCGTTTCCGTGTTTAGCCTCAGTTGGGCACTTTCAAGCCTATGCTTCCAAATGTAGTGCCTTCCGCCATTGCCTCCGGTGCTCCTCGTCTGTGGTGGGTGTAGCTAAATCGTAAAGTGCACCACAACAACAATCTGACCGCCTCACATTATGTTCGTTACACCATTGGTCCAATTGTTCTCTCCTCTTAATCCAACTGTTATGGCAGCACCTAACTGAACATTTAATACTTGACATATTTTACCGTTCGTTTCAACTAGCGCAGAATCTCATCCCTCTCATGAGCCGGAAGTTGAAGTCTTTCTCAGACGGGAGTAAGATGACAAAACGAACGCAATGGCGTCACCCTTGTCGTGCAAAATAAGGTGAATAGAAGAAAACTGTTTCCAAACCTCGAACTGTTCTCTTTGCCTCGGTAATGCTGTAATTTTAAAATATTTTTCTCGCGCTTGAAGCAATACACTAACGTTATTGGTTGCACCTCCATTACGTCACCACATTTGTTGTGTTTATGGTTGTGAGTGGTGAATTTCAAACCTCAAAACGCCCCCTTTTCTTGCAGCTTGTTTGTTTGCGGAAGGACTTATTCACTCAAACCACAAACCTCGGTGACGCGTTGCAAGTGAATCTATTTAATTTTGTGAATAAATATGATGCAGCTGGACTCTTCAACATGGAAGGATAACCAGCTGCTGACAATAACACGGGAAAGCCCGGTGGTTTTGCGACCACTCGTTTCACATCATGCATGCCCAAAGAATTAACTCTGCCAAAACCGTGATGTCATTGTCCATCTCAGTTCAGATGGTGTCAATGCAGGCAGTTCAATAACATTGTTGAATATTAAATAAAAATGTCCCCAACTAAGCAAAGCCAATGGCGACAAATGTTGTTGTCTGCAATTGGTAAAACTTCACAATAAAAATTTAGATATTCTGAAATGTTTCCCTGTATTTTTTATTTCATTAAATATTCAGATGTTTTTGTGAACGTATATTCATGGTGTTTATTTTGTCCTGTTTTTATAAAAGAATATTTGATTAGGATACTTTTTTTCATACAGTGGTTTTAAGGCCCCACAGGCGACATAAGCCAACCCTAGAGTTGGCTTTAGTCATTGCTAGTTCTTTGACGTCGGTTTTCTGTTTCAGGGCCTTAAGAATTTATTTATTTTTCTGTACAAAAAACTTGTTTGCTGTAGACCAGAGATAATTTTCAATCCTGAAGTCCTCTGCCACTCCTCCCTCTGAGAACAGCCAGCACCCTTAGTCTTCTTCACACCTCTCACACCCAGCAGTGTTTCAGCTGTATATGTCCGTGAAATTTCACGGATTCCTGTATATGCCCGCTTAGGTGAGGTTTCCGGGTTTGTCTGGAAATATACTGTTCCGTGTTACTCTAATCCGCTTTTTCCCACATACATCCAGCAAACATCAAATTGCACAGGAGTTTACCATGCCCGGATATTGCCGGATTTGAGTCTTTTCATGCAGTGAATGTTTATATTCATGTCATAAGAGAAGTCCTCCTCAGGCAGCTACTGTAACATAAAGTTATAGGTTTTTGGAGTCTGAGATATATGTGACTGACATTCAATAGAGCTCATAATAGTGAACTAATCCAATCATGAGAGTGTCTGCATCACTTCCTAATTATTTAAGATTTATTTTTAAAAACTGTCTTTATTAGGATTATTTTACAGTATGTTTAAGTTTTAAATAAACAGAGAACATGCGTCCATCCTGGCAAGAGTAGTGGTCACAATCTCAACCTAGCTAATGTATTTGGGGGGGATGTATAAACTTCATAAACTGGTTTCCACAAAGAACCCATTTGAGGCACGTGCTTCTGAAATGTTATGACCATGTTAAGAGTATAAAACCCCCACAATTGTTAACTTTTTAGACATGTTACTTTTGTGATTAGTAATTAACTGGTTATTATTTCTTAGTTCACAAGTAGTTCTCAATAAGGATATATTTCTTTAGTAACAATCAAATACCTACCAAGGAACTACCTTTGTACTAAATTACCTATTACTTAATGATTAGTTAATATTGTTTCCATATTAGTTAATAGTATTAACTTCGGTGTTAATGCAGTACTACCTATTACTTCCTGCATAGTTACTTGTTAACTACTGACCATTATTTTAAAGTGTTACCGAGTAGCCTATGTGTTTTGGCGACACCGATGGTGAGCTGGAGTCAAATGTCTTTTTGCTCACTATTAGAAAGAGAATCTAAAGAAAATTATACATATAATTCACAAACCTATATCATCACTTGAAGCAAACATCCATCCCTTCTTAAATGACCGCGCCAGCACGCGCGTTGGGTCGTTCAGTGAAACTGACACAGATAGCCTATAGCCTAATCTAACGGCAGATGGAGTAAAACCGTAAATCTTCATCCTGAGTCCAAATCATAAATAGAGTGCATGTTCTCAATAACAGTTTAAATAAATAAAAGAATGATTTAAACTATGTACTACTGATATAAACATTTAGATTAAATATGCCATTCTCATTAATGGAGTTAAACACTTAAACTACATGAAATCATTACTGAGAAGTTACAAAAAAATTATATTCAATAAATAGAAATAGACCTATTTGTTGTGGATGCAATGCTTTTGAACACTTTTCTTCTGGCATGCTGTGTTTTAATGTTTTAACTAGAGATAATTGCTAATCATGATAATAGATTGTCTGAGAAAATTGTTTCGTGCAAATAATGCACAACCATGTGTTTCCATTAAAATATAAATCAATTAAAAATACTATTTGGCCAGTGGAAAAGATCGAGAAAAACTTTCACTGAAATGTATTTAACACTATTTGATTTATTCATTCAAAAACAAGGCAATGCTGTAGGCTACTAAAAAAATTGTTTGTAATTTGATGGCACATCCACATTTCATATTTTCCTAACGTCTTGTAGCGTTAAACCAGAGACTATTTGGTTAAATTTAGTATAACGTGGATGAATAATCATATGCAAATGATGATCAATCAAATGCAGATGAGGATATGCATTTTTAAAATAGGCGTTGTAATCTCCATATATGGTTATTTCGGGGAGGAGACGCACGTGCGCACAATCTCCCGCTGACTGGGATTTATAAAGTGAATTCTGCGCAGGTTCTCGCGTACGAACGGTTTTATAAGTCTGAAAACTTTTGTGCGTACGCAAATTCTGCCTTATGTGCGTACGCACACATTAGGATGAAATCTACGCAGTAGATTTTTATACATGAGGCCCCAGTTTTATACATGAGTTTTATACATGAGGCCCCAGTTCAGTTAGAGTCTGGAGTACTTGCTTGTCTTGCGTGGCTTAGGGAATTCCTTTCGTCGTTGCGTCGAAGGGGGTTTCCCGGGTCCTCGTGGCTGGTTGTCTTTGAAGTGCCTGGATGGAAGATCCTGAGCTTGCCGGTCTGACTAGCAGGTGAATGAGAGAATCTTTGCAATTCAAAGCGCGTTGCGGGAAAGACGTCTAAAAATGAAACTTTGCAGCAAACTTAACTTTGAAATGAGACTTTTACGACAAAGAAAACAAGGGAAAGAAATTAAAATAAGACGAGTTAGATGGCTTGAATGAGCTGTTTTAACCTCGATCTTGTTGGGTTATTTGTCTGCTGGTCGAATTTGGTCTAGTCGATGAACAAGCCTGTGAACACGCTCTTTGTTTCAGAGAGAAGCATGACCAGGAACACTCTCTTGTTGTTTTAGAGAGAGGCACGAACTTAACAGTTACAAACTGAACGAACAAGAAACTCTGAGATCCTGTTTCTTTGTTCGGATCTTTAAATTAAACTTTAGTCCAACCTCTTTTGAAAATTCTGACCAATGAGATAATGGCATAATTTTAGGAGGTGGATCTACTTCTGCTGATCATAAATTTTGCATGACCTGTGAGCTGCCTGGTCTCCAGCATTTAGCAGAGAAACAAGAGACCACAGTTTAACCTTATGGATTATTATAATCATAAAACAAAACATTTTACACAGATTTCAATCAAGCCATCTTTTGAATGTAAAGACAGCGGTCCGATCAAGGGGGAATATGTTTCCTCTCAGTGAAGGCTTTTGTGATGTGTGGGGTGCCTTCTAGAGGCAGCTCTGAGTCGTGCTCGGAGACGGGTTAGTTTGAGGGTTTTTACACAGTCTTTTCGGACAAAGTCTTTGCTTAATGTGAGCTTTGTGGGCCCAGTCTCGTAGCTGAGGTAGACATGCTACGAGGACAGGCCAGGATGCTTACGGAATAACTTACTGTGGGATGCAGGTTTCGAAGGAACAAAGTTCTGAAATTGGGATCCTTCCCATACCTGGTGGTTTGCGTTTCAAAGTAGGCTTGTCGAAGTCAGTAGAAGTTGGTCTTGCTTGATGTCCACGGTGGTGATAACCCTTGGTCTGATTCTGGATCAGGGAGTTAAGCGATCAAAGCTTATTGCAACAGTTGATAGCCCAATTTGACAGTCTCTGTTTGACGATCTAGGAAGCTGTGCACCTCACGACTGGACGTAATCCATATCAAATAATAATAATAATAATAATTCGTTACATTTATATAGCGCTTTTCTGGACACTCAAAGCGCTTCACATAGAAGGGGGGGATCTCCTCAACCACCACCAATGTGCAGCATCCACCTGGATGATGCGACGGCAGCCATATTGCGCCAGAACGCTCACCACACACAAGCTTACTGGTGGAGAGGAGACAGTGATGATGCCAATTGGTGTATATGGGGATGATTACACTGTAAAAAATTTCCTGTAGAATTTACAGGAATTTACTGGCAAAAAAGTTGCCAATAAAATCCTGTAAAAATGTTGGAAATTGCTGTAAAATTGATTACAGTGTAATACTGTAAAGCAATTTACAGTTGATTGTTGTATATTAAATTTATAGGTATACAGTAATTTATAGGGTTTTTTACAGTAACATTGAATTAAACCTGTATTTTATTTTACAGCAATATTTTGTAATTTCACTAAAGTACAGTATTTACCTGGCAATAAAGTTGCCAATAAAATCCTGTAAAATACCCCCAAAATTCAAGTAGATGCTGTAATAGTTTAACATTTAAAAAGCTGAAAAGAATCATTTTAACAGTGAACTGTACTCTATTATTTACCATTATATTGATGTAGATGCATTAAAATAAACATTTAAAAAAACAAACACAAAGTCAAAGCTGTTGTAGAAAAATATTTATTAAAATAATCAGCAAATTACTACAAGACTGGTAACAACAATTTTACTTTTTCAAGTACAGAAAATCTTTTCAAAATCAGTCACAAAATAACTACAAATAAGGCTTAACACCAAGATACTGGGTTCAA